AATTCCTTCCCATGTCTGTTTTAGAGAATTTTCATATTTTCAGAGATATAAATATCGCTGGTCTTTGAGTAGAAGAATAGATCCTTATATAAGTTCTGACCTTATCACCTTTATCCAGCACAGAAATGTTGTCTTTATTAACTTTTCAGATTTATTTATTCAGCCACAGAAAACCTTATTTCCACATATTTTCAAATCTGTAAACCTACCTAAGGCTTTGTCCTGCTTAGTTTAAGCAATAGAAGATAGGATAATAATATCCTTTAATCTGTCCCCACACCTACTTAATGCACTAGTAGTCTCTTTCCAGTCACAGCTGCCTTTCTTATGATGGAAGTCTTTCTTTTCTGACTCATTCACCAAAAAACATGGTTTTCAGACAAGACTCTCTGTTTGAAAGTCTTTTGTCAATGATGATAAGTGTTTCAGTATAATTCTGATGTCACTTTTATGTAGCTTTCTACACTATAATCCTTCATTCTCTCTGAAAGAAATCTCTTGGAAACCATAACATCACTTCTTCCTGATTTTCTTTCTACTTTTTTCACATTCTTCCAGTTCATTCCATAAGTTTTTCTGCTTCTTTTGAACTTGATCAATGCTAAACACTTGTTCCTTGAATGTTGCAAATTTTCCAGGGCCATAAATGATCATACCAATGATCTAGACCAGTCTGAACCAAACTGAAGTGTCTACTTCCCCTGCTTCCTTTTATCAAGGAGATCATCCCAGGTAACAGAGAAGAGACCAAACCACACTCAAAACAAATGAATAAAGTCTTCAGGTAGAGTTTCACAAGGTTTTTAGCTGTAATTGTTTCATGACAATCTCTATTCTAACTGACAATCAAACATAAAAAGTAAAAACATAAATTCAATTTTACCTTTATACCTCATAAATTTGCTCAACTATGTAGTGCTATTGCGAACTGCAAACTAAGTGATAACCAGACCCAAAAAAATACATAATTCAGTATTTAGATAGTGATACAGACTTAGTTTTCAAATTTTATCACACTGACAAAGCCAGATGGTGCTGACAGTAAAATGTTTGGCAAAGAATTAACATGTAAGGGCAAACATCAGGGAAGGGTTTGCTTTAGGCTTTTCCTAAATTTACAGGCCAACTCATCAGAGAACTTCTATTTAAAATATTTAAAGATTCCTCTTTTCTTCTCATTTAGTACATTTTATTATAAAATAATTGATTTCTGAGTATCTTACCTCATATTGACCAGTTCATCTAATCACAATACTGTCATTAATTTATTTCCGACTATTTCTCAAATAAGGAAATTATTTCTTCCTCATATATGCCCTTTATTACCTTATTCATTAAAATCTTTTCTCTTCTTTACCGACAATTATCCTCATATCTATACTTACAGTAACCATGACTGAACTAATCAAGATGAAATGGTGATGTGCGTCTGTGGAAATGCTGTTTGAAAAAAATGTACTATTTTTCTACTTGTTAATTCTTGTTTCCTAATTTATATAATTTTAATTTTGGAAAAATATAACAAGAAAACAAAACAAACACGCAAACAACAACAACCAAAACACCACTCCCTCAAGTTACAAAGGAACCTACAACAACAAAAAGAGTTTTAATTAAAGAAATATTTTTAAATGAAAATCTTAACATTTACAAAATTAAAGTTAATTATCACAAGGAATTAAGTGGAATTTGATTGATTTTTTTGTATTAATTTTGAGTTAATTTAACAGAGTGTAGAAAATATTATATTGTCAAGCCAACAGACAGATACTAACTTCGGTCTTAAACACAAAGAAAAAAACAGGAAAAGCCTTCAGTGGTAGACCATAGGTAGTCTTCCAGGCCAACTCAAGCTTAGTACAACATGGGGTACGTTGCTTGTGGCATATTGAGAATGGGAGGAGGATAGGAGAGAAGAAAGGACCAAAATAACAGATGAAGCCTTGACCGATCCTAAGAGGACATCTTTATATCCCAAAAGCATTCAAGGTTACTGAAGCACAATGGTATCATATATAAAACTGATGGTCATGAAATGAATGTGTCACTGGTGACTTTGTAATCTAATAGGATATCAGTGCATTAGTCTTCAACTGTCTTTAAACTGTGGAGATTTAAAAGAAACACATTTTACATGAGTTTTAATAAGATTTTCCTTTAAATAAAACTTTATTTTCCACATATATGCTCATTTTTGCTACTGCTGACTAATTATACATTAAAGGGCATTTAAAATGCTTTCATTAGCAGTCAAATTTTAAAAGTAATATTTTTTAAAATTAAGCATTATTCAGATTACATTAAAATTAGAAAATAAATATACTGCACAGACAACTAAAAGATATGTAGCAGAATTTAACTGAAAGGGGCTTGTAGTTTTAATGAAACTCTAAATACTCATTCAAGTGTACAGGCATATAACTATATATTTTGGGGTATATGTGATTGAAAATTAAATGGGTGTTTCTTGAGATAAAATAGAAGAGTATATTTACAAAATTTTTCATGCGTCATTGCCTCTAGGGTCCCAACAGTATCCCTGTGTTTAGAAATTTGATATAATAATTCAAAAGATTTAGCATATAGCTATATGCATGACTGAGATTTATTATAAGGATATTTTAAGGACAGATAGCTGGATCATAAGAGAAAAAAACAAGAGTGAAATCTAGAGAAATCTATGTGAAGGCTTCATTATGCTTCCTGCCTCCCATGAGAAGTCACATAAATATATTTTTCTTTCAATGACAAAAAAAAAAAAAAAGCTAGTGGAGGTGAGGAAAATCCAGCTGAGCTGTTCCAAATCCTAAAAGACGATTCTGTGAGTCTGCTGTACTTAATAGGCCAGCGAATTTGGAAAACTCAGCAGTGGCCACAAGCCTGGAAAAGGTCGGTTTTCACTCCAATCCCAAAGAAGGGCAATTCCAAAGAAGGTTCAAACTACTATACAATGCTCTCTTTTCACATGTGATCATGTGTGATCAAATATGTGATCCAAGAGCTTCCAGATGTAAAGCTGGATTCAGAAAAGGAAGAGGAACCAGAGATCAAATTGCCAGCATCCATGGCATCATAGCAAAAGGAAAGGATTTCAGAAAAACATCTACTTCCACTTCATCGACTATGGTGAAATCTTTGACTCTGTGGATCACAACAATTTGTGGAAAATTCTTAAAGAGATAGGAATATCAGACCACCTGACCTGCTTCCTGAGGAACCTATATGCAGGTCAGGAAGCAACAGTTATAAATGGACATCTGGACATGGGATAGCAGACTGGTCCAAAAAGGGTAAAGAAGTATGTCAACACTATATATTGTCACCCTCCTTATTTCACATATATGCAGAGCACATCATGGGAAACACAGGGCTGGATGAGTCACAAGCTGGAATCAAGATTGCTGGGAACAGTAAACACAAATATGTAAGTTACACCACCCTAAAGGCAGAAAGGGAAGAGGACCTAAAGAGCCCCTTGATGAAAGTGAAAGAGAGTGAAAAAGCTGGCTTAAAACTCAACATTCCAAAAACTAAGATCATGCCATCTGGTATCATCACTTTATGGCAGACAGATGAGGAAAAATGGAAACATTGACAGACTTTATCTTCTTGGGCTCCAAAATCACTGTAGATGGTGACTGCAGCCATGACATTCAAAGATGCTTGCTCTGTGGAAGAACAGCTATGACAAACCTAGACAGCATATTGAAAGGCAGAGACACTACTTTGCGTATAAAGGTCCATATAGCCAACATATGGTTTTTCCAGTAGTCATGTATGGATGTGAGTTGGACAATAAAGAAGGCTGAGTGCCAAAGAATTGATGCTTTCAATCTAGCGCTGGAGAAGACACTTGAAATTCCCTTGGAGTGCAAGGAGATCAAACCAGTCAATGCTAAAGGAAATTAACCCTGAATATTCATTGGAAGGATTGATGCTGAAGCTCCAATACTTTGGCCACCTAATGCAAAGAGCCGACTCATTGGAAAAGACCCTGATGCTGGGAAAGATTGAAGGCAGGAGAAGGGGATGACAGAGGATGACATGGTTGGATGGCATCACCGACTCGATGGACATGAGTTTGAACAGGGAGATAGTGAAAGGCAGGGAAGCCTGGCATGCTGTAGTCCATGGGGCCACAGAGTCAGACACGACTGTGTGACTGAACAACAAGATGTACAATAGCTCTGTTCACGGCAGACCATTGGAGATTCCGCTGAGAAGATTTAGACTGAGGCCTGATCATATAGGTACCCTCTGTCAAGCAGGTACCAAAATTCCAGATTTCAGAGGAAAGCAGGCATCTGGAATAAATCAAATGTTCACCATTATCCATATTGTTTACACAAACCGAATAGGCAGACTGAGCCATGTTCATCAACAATTTTTAGTTAATTGTTGCCTGGTAATGCTCCAAGAATCAAGTTCCCAAATACTAGATGAAGAACAATGTGGTAATAGTCCTTTATAAGAATAGCAGTATCAAGTTTTCTACATCTTTTTTACATGCTCACAAATTTTAGATTAAATGTATGCATAGAGAGACATCTTGATTTTCTGTTTAGAGGTTTCACTCTATTTTTGTTAGGCTTCCCTGGTGGCCCAGAGGTAAAAAGTCTGCCTGCAGTGTAGGAGACCCGGGTTCGATCCCTGGATCAGGCAGATGTCTTGGAGAAGGGAATGGCTCCCCACTCCAGTATTCATCCCTGGAGGATGTCATGGACAGCAGAACCTGGTGGGTACAGTCCATGGGGTCACAAAGATTTGGACACAACTGAGAGTCAGCACATTCACTTTTTACTCCATTTTAGTTAACTGGACTATTGTCGCCCTGCTGTACTCGTTTCCTAGAGCTGATGTAAAAAAATATACCACAAATTAGGTGGGCTAAAGCAACAGAAATTCATTCTCTCAGAATTCTAGAGGGTGGAAATCTGAAAGCAGGGCCATTATCTCTCCCAAGGCTCTAAGAGAAAAAGTGTTCTCTGCTTGCCTCTTAGCTCCCGGCGCTGCAGGGCGTCACTGGCCTTCCTAAGCTTGAGGACGTGTCCTTCCGTTCTCTGCCTCTGTCTTCACTCGGCATCCTGCATGTGGGACTGTCTCAGTGTCTCTTCTCCACTTCCTCAGGCATCAGCCACAGTGGATGAGCGCTTCCCCTTTTCCAGGTAAGGTCGTATGTGCAGGGCCTGGCAGGTTTGAGCTTCAACTCACCTTTTTGGTGAGCTTATTTTTCTGAATATTTTGAAGATCTGCTTCAGTATAATACATCTTAATCTGTTTAAAACCTACTGTTTAATACCTTGCTAGCAATTAAATAAACCAAATCAAGGAAAAAAAAAACAGATATACAAAGTAGAAAAAGAGTGAGAGGAATAAGATAGAGAAATAAAAACCAAAATCCCCAAAACAGACTGAAATAAAGTGAAGAGACTTTCCTGAGGACAGCTGATGCTATAATTTGGAGAGTTTTCTTTGAACAGGTAGCAAGGTGAAGGAAGTTACATCACTAAGCAGAGATCCCTAAAGGAAGACATACACACACACATACACACACACTATTTGATCTTATATTTCTTTATATTTGAAAATTTTTCTGTCTAAATCCAGATACTAGATCCCTTCATATTTTGTTATTACTACTTGACAGAGTGAGACATCCTGGAGCATGAAGTCAAGTGGGCCTTAGGAAGCACTATTACTTACAAAGCTAGTGGAGGTGATGGAATTTCAGCTATGTCAAATCCTAAAAGATGATGCTGTTAAAGTATTGCACTCAATATGCCAGCAAATTTGGAAAACTCAGCAATGGCCACAGGACTGGAAAAGGTCAGTTTTCATTCCAGTCTCAAAGAAGGGCAATGCCAAAGAATGCTCAAACTCCCCCACAATTGCACTCGTTTCTCATGCTAGTAAGGTTATACACAAAAATCTTTAAGCTAGGCTTCAGCAGTACATGAACCTAGGATTTCAGACGTACAAGCTGGGTTTAGAAAAGGCAGAGGAACCAGAGGTCAAATTTCTAACACTACTTGTATCATGGAGAAAGCAGAGGAATTACAGATAAACATCTGCTTCATTGATTACACTCAAGCCTTTGACTTTGTGGGTCACAGGAAACTGTGGAAAATTCTTAGACACAAGAGTACCAGACTACTTCTCCTGTCTCCTGAGAAACATTCATGTGGATCAAGAAGCTACAGTTAGAACCTTACATGGAACAACTGGCTGGTTCAAAATTGGGAAATGAGTATGACAAGGCTGTTCATTGTCACCCTGTTTATTTGACTTATATGCAGAGTATATCACGTGAAATGCCAGGATGGATAAATTACAAGCTGAAATCAAGAAGACAGGAAAAGTATCAGCAATCGGATATCCAGATGATACAACTCTAAAGGCAGGAAGTGAAGAGGAACTAAAGAGCCTCTTGATGAACGTGAAAGAGGAGAATGAAAAAAGATGGCTTCAAACTCGGCATTCAAAGAACCAAGATCATGGCCTCTGGTTCCATCACTTCATAGCAAATAGATGTGGAAAAAAATAGAAACAGTGTCAGACTTTATTTTTGGAGGGCTCCAAAATCACTGTGGATGGTGACTGCAGCCATGAAATTAAAAGATGCTTGCTCTTTGGAATGAAAGCTATGCCATACCTAGACAGTGTAGTAAAAAAAACAAAGACATCACTTTGGAGACAAAGGTCCAAATACCCAAAGATATGGTTTTTCCAGTGGTCATGTGAAGATGTTACAGTTGGATCATAAAGAAGGCTGAGCACCAAAGATGATGCTTTCAAAGTTTGGTGTTGGAGAAGACTCTTGAGAGTAGTACCTTGAACTGCAAGGAGATAAAACCAGCCCATCCTAAAGGAAATCAACCCTGAATACTCATTGGAAGGACAGATGCTGAAGCTCCAATACTTTGGCCACCTGATGCAAAGAGCTGACTCATTGAAAAAGACCCTGATGGTGGGACAGATTGAGAGGAGGATGAGGAGTGGGCGACGGAGGATGAGATGGTTAGATAGCATCACTGACTCAGTGACATTAATTTGAGCAAATTCTGGGAGATAGTGAAGGACAAGGAAGCCTGGTGTGCTGCAATCCTTGAAGTCCCAACACGCTGGACATGACTTAGTGACTGAATAACAACTTGGTTGGTACATAACTCAGAAAGTTGCTATAACGACTACAATTATTTTGATTTTTATGCATCAGTAATCAATATCTGTGTGTGTGTGCTGTGTGTGCTAAGTTGCTTCAGTCCTGTCTGACTCTTTGGACCCTAAGTTCTGTAGCCCACCAGACTCCTGTGTCCATGGGATTTTCCAGGCAAGAATACTGGGGTGATTGCCACTCCCTCCTGCAGGGGATCTTCCCAATCAATATCTGGCTCTGCATAAATCTCAAAAGTTTGTCTAACTGCATTGGGGAAAAAATGGTCCCTAATTTATTGAGCTTGATCCTAATGTAAAATATGAATGGAAGCAAAGGGAGAAGACGAGGAGACAGGAGAACAAATGGGAGGAGGAGGAACATAAGGAGAAGGGAATGAGGACTAGGAGACACAGGAGGGGAGATGGAGGAGGGGCGAGCTGAGGAAGTCGGGGTTCCTGACAGAGGCTACATGAGATGGGGTCGGGGCATTCCTGATAGCTGTGGCTGTAACTGCCCAGTTCCCAGAGCGGAAGTCTCCTCCAGCAGACAATACACCAACAGTGCCTACCCCTGCGCAGAGTATGGAATAGACAGGCCACGTACATGTGTTGACAAAATAAAGGAGATCAGTCCTGAATATTCACTGGAAAAACTGGTGCTGAAGCTGAAACTCGAACTCTTTGGCCACCTGATGCGACGAGCTGACTCACTGGGAAAGACCCTGATGCTGGAAAAGATTGAAGGCAGGAGGAGAAGGGGATGACAGAGGATGAGATGGTTGGGTGGCATCACTGACTTGATGGACGTGAGTTTGAGTAAACTCTGGAAGTTGGTGATGGACAGGGAGGCCTGGCGTGCTGCGGCCCATGGGGTCTCATGGACACGACTGAGCGACTGAACTGAACTGAACTGAACTGAGAGTAAATACAGGATGGAAAATAATAGATTTTAAATGTAGGTAATTGCCTTAAAAACTCATGAGGGAAAAGGGTATAACACTTATTTAAATGCTTTTTAAAAGTTTGAGTTCAGGACAATGGAAAATTTTAGTTTCAAATATTACAAATTGGGAATATAGCAGTGGTTCTTTGATTTTAATATAATAGATTTAATCTCAACATAAGAAAATTTAAAGGTAGTACAGAAAAATGTATTTTAAACAATTATTTTCAAAGTTGAGAAAAAACTTACAAATGATAGTTATGAATGGAGCAGATGACATGTGACCCATGAAAAATTAGACTGCTAAAAAGAATATTGAATTTTTCATTTTTCTTGGCTCAGACATATTTTTGTGGCTTTGAAATCTGAGGAAATTACTCTTTCTTTAAGTGACTAAATATCCTTTAGTATCCTTTTTACCAAGTCCCATTTATCTCTCCATTCTTTCCTCTTTATCATCATAATATCAGTTCTCAGTCATGGCTAAGTATATTTTTCAAACTCACTGGTCGCTGAGCCACTGTTTTCTGTCCCCACCTACATGTCGAGTTGAAGAATGGTGGTAGGTTTCCTCAATTTTCCATGTTTCTTTCTATACTGTGGAATCATATTGTAAGTGGGCAGCAGACAGGATTCAGGCTGCGCTGAAGAGGGAAAGTATTAACTGAAATCCCTCTCTACTGCTGGTGTCTCCAGCTATTTGTTTCCTCTTGCTTGGTGGTTTATGGTGGTCCTTTTTTGCATTTGGAAGAAAATTTGTGATTATATAAAAATATAAATTTTGGCCGCATTTTAAATATTTCTAATGATTTCAATAAAGTAGTTGTGTCTTCAAGTGGAATTCCAAATTTTAGTTGTTTAATTTTTCCGTTTTCAACTTTAACATCACCAGGGTGTTTAAAAAATGGATGATGGGAGACCAGTGAAGTCTGAGTAAGGATGTAAGGTGAGTATTCATTTTTATATATTTTGTTCTATATTCCTGGAAGTACAATTCTTCAGATTTGTGTTGAACTTAATGTGATTCAAATTTACAAAAATAATCATCTACTCAAAATGTAGATCATTAATTTTTGGAGTAAAAATAGCCTTATAATATCTGATGTATTCTACTGTCATTTAAAAAATATGTAGTATTTCTCTTAGACTTGTACACATTTAATTTTAATCATTGGAGAAAATATAAAGAAGCTCTGAGAAGTTATAGCTTTTATAGAGTATGTAGCTCTTAAAAACACATTTTCTGTTTTTTCTGTAATATAAATAGAGCTTGTCAGAGTGTACTGTAAAATCTCAAGCATACTAATTAGAACTTTACTTACAACTTAGATTTAAAATGAAAGGAAGATTCAATGAAATGAAAGCTACAATATCTTGCATAACAAGTTATTTATGTAAATTAAGGAATATGTGAAAGAACAAAAATGAAGGTAGTAAAGTGGTAATATTTTCTTCACATAGTATAATTTTGATTATTGTACTATTGAATTTTCATTTCCCTTTAATAGCAATTTATATTGTTCATCTCAGATTTTTCACCAATAAATCTTTATTCTTGGCAGGAGTCATGTAGTTTTGTCAAAAACTTAATTTTTAACTCAAGGTTTTTAATTTTTCTCCCCCACTTTATCTTGAAGGAAGAGTTTAAAATCAGAAGGTTTTCCCCAATTTTAAACACGTGATTTTGTGCCAAATTTCTATCTCCCACCTCCAGATTTGTATGTATTATAATGGACTGAAAAAGGTAAATTTAAACATTTGGATATATACACTTTTATTAAAGGAAAAAATATATAATAAATTAGGAATTAAATTAGAACAAATATTTTATGTCAATATGGGCATCACTTTAACTTAAATCTATATATCAGCATTTTGTCCTTTCTATAATTCATGTATAAAATAAGCCAAATTTTTCATACCAAAGTGAAACACTGTTATTATTTTTTTATTTCTTCCTCTGCTCTACTGATTGAAATTTGCCCACCTTTTTGTCCAAAAGTTTCTTTCTTTTACATGCATGTCATAATGAAAGTAAATATCTGAAAACATTGATGAATAAGCTTTTGGAAAAATTTTTTTTAAATTAGCAACAATGCTACTAGTGGCAATTTTTTATTTTTAATATAAATAAGTTTTTTTACTAATAAAATATTTGCTTAGAAAACTTCTTTATGGCTTACTACTAGAGAAAATGTAGGATCAATAAACAAACTCTATTTAAGAAAAAATATGGTGGGGAATTGAAGTGGGTAATTTAATATAGAAATAATTAAACTGTTACCGTGGAGAATAAAAGTTTACACAGGAATCAATTTTAATGTATTAGTTACTGCACTTGACATGAGCCTATGTTTATAAACCTTGAGTTCCTGGTTAGTATACATCTCAAAACTCCCTAGCTGGACAAGAAGCACGAACACTTAAATTTTGCATTGCAAAATTCTGCAAAAATGTTTACTTCTGTAGGATTTGACTTTGGTTTTAGGTAGGCGTCTCACATCAGCATTTCATTCATAACCATCTACTTCCCATAGTGATGTCTTACTATAACAGCATCATTTCTAATATAAATTATTAGAAATTCTTGGTATTTTGTCAAAAAGGCCTGGGCTTGAGTTCTAACAGCAGAGCCTGGGCAAGGTCTAGGGGATATATCAGAGCGCTAACCTCTGGTGTCATAGTGAGGAAGAAGAGAAAATGAGACAAGGCAGGGGGCAAGGCCCCAGAGGGCGCACGATGAGCCGACTTTCCGGGGGACAGTCGGGCCCAATGTTAGAAGGATGCTGTGGACTCAGAAAGTGCTTCTGTTTCCTCTAGCTCTGGTGATTCCCAGCTATAGGCTGAGCAAGCTGCCATGGCAATAGAGAAATTTTATGTTGAATTTATTTTTTGGATAAGCTTTAAATATTAATGTTAATAATATATATATGGGTATAAATATAGCTATGTTACTGATCAGTTGCTCAGTCATGTGGCCTGGCGTGCTGCAGTCCACGGGGTCACAAGGAGTCGGACACGACTGAGGGACTGAATGGAACAGACTCACGCCATCGGGTTGGTGATGCCATCCAACCATCTCATCCTCTGTCGTCCCCTTCTCCTCCTGCCTTCAATCTTTCCCAGCGTCAGGGTCTTTCCATAATGGAAAAAAAAAAAAAGAATGTTTACTTCTGTAGGATTTGACTTTGGTTTTAGGTAGGCGTCTCACATCAGCATTTCATTCATAACCATCTACTTCCCATAGTGATGCCTTACTATAACAGCATCATTTCTAATATAAATTATTAGAAATTCTTGGTATTTTGTCAAAAAGGCCTGGGCTTGAGTTCTAACAGCAGTGCCTGGGCAAGGTCTAGGGGATATATCAGAGAGCTAACCTCTGGTGTCATAGTGAGGAAGAAGAGAAAATGAGACAAGGCAGGGGGCAAGGCCCCAGAGGGCACACGATGAGCCGGCATTCCGGGGGACAGTCGGGCCCAATGTTAGAAGGATGCTGTGGACTCAGAAAGCACTTCTGTTTCCTCTAGCTCTGGTGATTCCCAGCTATAGGCTGAGCAAGCTGCCATGACAATAGAGAAATTTTATGTTGAATTTATTTTTTGGATAAGCTTTAAGTATTAATGTTAATAATATATATATGGGTATAAATATAGCTATGTTATTGATCAGTTGCTCAGTCATGTGGCCTGGCATGCTGCAGTACATGGGGTCGCAAGGAGTCAGACACGACTGAGGGACTGAATGGAACAGACTCACGCCATCGAGTTGGTGATGCCATCCAACCATCTCATCCTCTGTCGTCCGCTTCTCCTCCCGCCTTCAATCTTTCCCAGCGTCAGGGTCTTTCCAGTATTTTGCCCACCTGATGCAAGGAGCTGACTCATTGGAAAAAATCCTAATCCTGGGAAAAATTGAAGGCAAAAGGAGAAGGGGTCAGCAAAGGACAAGACAGTTAGACAGCATCACTGACTCAACATGAATTTGAGCAAACTCTGGGAGACGGTGAAGGGCGGGGCAGCCTGGTATGCCTCAGTCCCAGGGTTGCAAAGAGATGACCACAGTTTAGTAACTGAACAACAACAAAAGCTATACTTTCAGGGCAAATTCAGCAGAATGGGGTTAGTAGGTCAAAGATTCAGTGCTTACATAGCTTGGTTAGATATTACCAAATGTTTCTGTATTACTAGAGAGTTTGAATAATCAATGAATCACAAATTGTATATTTATTATAAGAAAACAAGATGTAATTAAATAGACAATATGTTGGTATAGTTTATAAGAAGGGGAACAAATTTAAAAAGTGTTTTGGATTTTTTTTAAATACAAAGGAGTTATTGTACTTTAAATCTCTCACTCATTTGTATGTTTTGTGTGGGTGTGTGTTTGTGTAAAAACATTTTATAGTAAGAAAGTGTGGAGATTCAGGGAATTCAAAGTTAATTTTGGTGCTATTAGACATGAGGTTATAACTTTGCTTTAATGTATAATTTGCTATGAGAATTAATCTTTGAAAATTATGAAAAAAATATGGTAAATAGCCTGAAGCTCTAAAAGATCAGCATAAATACCAAGCAATAAGTGAGCATATTTCTTTTAATTATATTATCATGAAGCCTAAATCCAACTCATGCTTTCCTCATTATTAATAACAATGGTAGCTGTGTTTTATCATAAAATTATAAATTGTGATTAGACTCTACTGTATAGATATGTCTTACTTGGCTGAATAGTGAGATATTTTTAAACGTAATTAGATACTTAACCTTAACTATGAAGGTATAAATAGCTACTTTTACATAGACTTCAGTTAAGTAAAAGCATTTCTGCATATTTTTATATGTGCAAGTAGAATTTGCACAAAAAACTATTGCCATACAAACTAAAAGACATTTGAATGAAAAGTTCTGTGACTTAGATTTTATCTTTTAAATAATTTTCTTCAAAAAGAGTTCATAATATATATTTTCTAATTGTCTATATGTAGTTATATATATGTAGATTTTTACCATTAATGGCAAGATACCAAATTGTTTAGAAGACATAGATTTTTAAATCATAGCATGTTAAAATTTAAAAGGTAAATTAGTATAATAATAGTTAAATGCCTTTTGTACAATTTTCAGTTATAAGAAAAGTCTTTCTAGGAATTCTGCTGTATGTATTTATTCCCACAGATTACTAATAATGTTTTTTTTAATTATTACATCATATGTTTTACAAAGCAACTTCTCAAATATTGCTTCATTTATGTTTCTCAAAAAAAATCTGTGCAAATATAAAATCACTCTTTTCTGTTCTGTTTTATATGTGAATAAGTTTGATCTGTACATATGTGTAATCAATATGTATTACTTGAAAATTTCATTCTTATTCTATAAGTCTATAAAGATAATCTGATATTTAGGTTCTGTCCCTACTTGTGGATCTGATTCTTTTGCAAACAAAAGAACATTTGATGAAATATCCACATTGATATAATTTCTTCCCACTTTAGGAATTTATTGGTAAAATCTTACAACGTCTTGATTAGTTTCAGATTATGTTTTGAGATAATCCAAACTAGAATCTCAAGAAATTGAGGGAGAATAAATTCTTCCCTGTATCTCCAAAAATATGGCAATTTTTCAATGTGAGTTCATTAAAACTACTTATCCTGAAGTTGTCAATCATCAAAACAAGGTAGTTGCTAATTAAATTAAAATTGCTGTGTATTAAATCTTGAGGTATAAAACAAAATCAATTTCATTTCCTTATTAGAAGAATAGCAAACACCAGTGCTGTGCCGTGCTGCGCTAAGTCACTCAGTCGTGTCCACCTCTTTGTGACTCCATGGACTGCAGCCCACCAGGCTCCTCTGTCCACGGGGTTTTCCAGGCAAGAACACGGGAGTGTGTTGCCATTTTCTCCTCCAGGGGATCTTCCCAACCCTGAGATCAAACCA